AGAACTGGGTCTACTTCCTGAAAATGCGGGTGCTAAAGAGAACTTTGGGAGCCTCAGTGAAGTGCATTTTGAACATTCATGCATGGTAGTAGGCACAGCAACAGGCAATCTTGGTAAATGATAACTAACAAGACTCGGGCTACCAGTGTTAGTGATGTTACTAGGATGCTCCCACGCGCCGAACTCAGCTATGTCAGGCCCTTCGATTTGGGCTCCAGTTAATACCCACAGCCTATTTCATGTATGTGCGCCAGCTCTTCGGCGGTTGCCCCGAGTGGTCGTTGGGCACCAAACGGTAACTACAGAATGGATAAATAGCAGTTAGAAGTTATCCAGCTTTCTGTCAATATCGTGAAAACAGATGTCAAAAGAAGTTATAATGCAGCTGTGAGAGGTATGCTAGCATCCACTCTTGTCTGGTTTCTTCAGTATACGTGGGTCTGAGGCCATGGCAATCCAGTCCATGGTCTTCAGCGCTGTGTTCAATTTCACCAATTTCTGACGTTGCAATTCAAATGTTTTTTCCTTTGCCGCCTGCAATATTTTTTTGAAACAAAATCCCAGAAGTTGCAAGAAAAATAGATTCCCCAATACCAAAGTCTTCACATCCAAACATAGATCAAGAGTTTTAATTTGAGTTGGAGCTTGGTACTACTTGTTTTACAAATTATTACCAGTTCCGGAGGTTTCTGAGGTGGAGTTGGATCGGCCATCATTGCAAGGAATTCGTCCTCCGAAATTTCCTTCTCCTTTGGTACACTGTCAATGCGTAGTCTTATTTCCGTTATTTTCGACAGAATGTATTCGCAGTAGGCAAGAAGTTGTTCCGGGTCGCTTACGCCCTGCTGCTGATGCCAACGATCGGCCGATTTCGTTAGAATTGTCATTAGTGTATATGTCCTGAAATGGAACTCTAGCACAGCTACATTGGTTCCAGCGGCTCCAAATGACTACTGTTCCAGCAGCTGCTATCCTAAACATATGAACCATAATTTCCCGTGGATTAATCTGTCTTTATTCTAACACTGTGACAAGCTGACATAACAAATCCTCATATCATGATCGTAACTGATGGCTTTTTCATGGTTTTTTGAAAGCTGCTGTACGATCAGCAAGGAAAAAGACAAAAACCAAATGCCAAAGGAAAATGACCTGAGCAATAATTCTTGCACTAATTCTCGACCAATATAAGTCAATGAAACAATCGAATACTTTGAGAGATTATCCAATATTTCCGGGGAATATGGCGGAGGATTCATCGGCCTAGCCGATTTCGTTTCTTCTTTTTTGGGCTGCTCGCTCATCTGTTCTGATATTCTGAAACAGTAACCAGCGTTACATGTTCTCCACCTTATAAGTGAACCGACTTTTGCTCGCTAAAATTCGATACCATACAAAATTCCCAAACTGCAACACAAGAAGCTCGGCCCTGTTGCGTGGGAACTCTGACAGCAGTAGACTTTACTCGCATCAATACATGACTCACATGTTTCCAGTACCTAAACCAGTTATGAATCATAACTTGGTCACCAACTACACAACTGGCAATTTTCCCAGTTGATTTGACCAATCTTTTTTTCCCTGACGGGCAACATTTTGGTAATCTCAACGTTTATTCCAAGTTCTGAGGGAGTCGAAAAGTCAACAATTTTCTCTACAAAGCCATTAAAATAATAAGCACACGATGCTCATACATAAATTAATAATTGGCCAACGCACGGGCTGCCCGTGCGAAGATGCGTTTTTTGCAGAGTTCCCCGCAG